ACAAAACAGATGTGTTCCAGAGTCTCTATTATACAGTTCAAATTGGAAAAAAAAAAAAGATCAACCATAATCCTTCTTAATTTCTTTTAAAAATTCTTTTTATAAACCATTTATTTTTATATTTTGGTGTTCCTTGTATGATTTGGATGAGGTGAGGTAGAATTGAAAGATGATTTACATCACTCTATTGCAGACAGTTCTTTTCCTGAAGTACAGCGTGACCAGAGTAGGCAGTTTCGCAGGATTTTTGTGTTCACTATGCTGGTGTAGGGGGCAAAGGGAAGGCTTCCCTTCCACTCTCTGAAGGTTTGCTGCAAATCAACTGACAACAAGCAGACTAATAGGAGAAAAAGGCATAGATATTTATTTAATGTGCATGATGGGGGGAATTGCAAAAGGATTACCCAATAACTCCATGGAGTATAGAAACATATTTATGCACCCTTTTTTGTAAAGCAGAGAGAGATGGGGAATTTAGACCATTCTTCTTATGAATAGTAAATTATTATTAAGGATAATGAATAGACCTGGGAGACAAAATTAATTTGTAAATGAGTCTCTTTAGTATTTGAATCATCCTAAGAGGTGACACTATCTGTTTGAAAAAGTCCATCCAGATGCGGTTGATTCCCTCAGTGACAAATAATGAGATTTCCAAGATGGGATGAAAGATGACTGTGTTGCTTTTTGGAATTTCAGTTTTTAGATAAATAAGAAAACATCAGAGAACATCCTCATCTTGTGGTTTGAGAGAGACAGAATTGTTAGAAGGGTACAAGACAAGCAAGGGAAGGGGTGAGAGACCTTGAGGCTCGTTCTTTAGCTCAGTATGTCAAAGTCTCATTTTTTGAGATACTTTTTCAGCACCCCAACTTTGGGGATAAGACTGCAAAGATGTGTTAGGCATTGGTTGCTACATTTGGGAGAAAAATACCTCAAGGGAACAAAAGGTTATCAAAAGTGGTTCTTTAATGAGAACACATGGACACAGGGAGGGGAACAACACACAGTGGGGCCTTTTGAGGGGGGTAAAGGTGGGGGGAGGGAGAGCATTAGGAAAAATAACTAATGCACATGGGGCTTAATACCTAGGTGATGGCTTGATCAGTGCAGCAAACCACCATGGCGCACATTTACCTGTGTTACAAACCTGCACATCCTGCATGTGTATCTCAGAAATTAAAATAAAAAAGTGGTCATTTCTCCTCTTTATTTCTAATAAATACATTTTTCCAAACACATAGAAGATCAAATTGGATTAAATTTTTTATGACTTGCATTGTGCAAACATTTGGGAAATATAACATTTAAATATTACATGAGTCCATTTTCACACTGCTGGTAATGACATGCTGAAGACTGGGCAATTGACAAAGGAAAGAGGTTTAATGGAGAATTTACAGTTCCACGTGGCTGAGGAAGCCTCCACAGTCGTGGAGTAACTCTCATTTTACGTGGATGGAGGCAGGAAAAAAGAGAGCTTGTATCGGGGAATGCCCGTTTTTAACACCATCAGATCTCGTGAGACCCATTCACTATCACAAGAACAGCATGGGACAGACCCACCCCCCATTATTCGATCATCTCCTACCGGGTCCCTCCCATAGCACATGGGAATTATGGGAGCTACAAGATGATATTTAGGTGGGGACACAGCCAAACCATATCATTCCACCTCTGGCCCCTCCCAAATCTCATATCATCACATCTCAAAACCAATCATACCTTCCCAACAGTCCCCCAAAGTCTCAGCTCATTTCAGCATTAACTCAAAAGTCCACAGTCCAAAGTCTCATCTGAGACAAGGCAAGTCCCTTCCACCTATGATCCTGTAAAACCAAAACAAGTTAGTTACTTCCTAGATACAATGGGGGTACAGGGATTGAGTAACTATGGCCATTCCAAATGGGAAAAATTGACCAAAACACAGGGGCTACAGGCCCCATGCAAGTCTGAAATTCAGCAGGGCAGTCAAATCTTTTTAAAATGGTGTCTTTTGACTCCATGTCTCACATCCTGGTTACACTGATGCAGGAGGTAGATTCCCATGGCCTCTGGCAGCTCTGCTCATGTGGCTTTGCAGGGTATAGACACCCCACTCCTGGCTGCTTTTACAGGCTGGTTTTATGCATCTGCAGCGTTTTCAGGCACAGGGTGCAAGCTGTCAGTGGAGCTACCATTCTGGGGTCTGGAGGATGGTGATCCTCTTGTCACAGCTCCACTAGGTGGCCCCAGTAGGGACTCTGTGTGGGGCTGTCACCCCACATTTCTTTCCCCATCCTGCTGTAGCAGTGGATGGGCTCGCCCCTGCAACAGAATTTTTCCTGGGCATACAGATGGTTCCATACATCTGAAATGTAGGCAGAAGTTCTCAAACCTACCATGTGGAAGCTACTAAGGCTTGGGGCTTCCACCCTCTGAAGCAACAGCCCGAGTTGTTCCTTGGCCTCTTTTAGTCAAGATCAGAGCAGCTGGGACACAGGGCACCGAGTCCCCAGACTGCACACAGCAGAGGGACCCTGGGCCTGGCCCACAAAACCATGTTTTCCCCCAAAATCACCAGGTTTGTGGTGGGAGGGGCTGCTGCAAAGGTCTCTGACATGCCCTGGAAACATTTCCCCGTTGTCTTGATGATTATCATTTGGCTTTTTGTTTCTGTTGCATTGTCAGGCTGCAAACTTTCCCAACTTTTATGCTCTGTTTCCCTTTCAAAAATGAATGCCTGTATCAGCACCCAAGTCATCTCTTGAATGCTTTGAGACTTCAAAATTTCATTACCACTTTCCCTGAATCATCTCTCTCAATTCAAAGTTCCACAAATCTCAAGCATCGGACAAAATGCCACCAATCTGTTTGCTGAAACATAACAAAAGTCACCTTTGCTCCAGTTCCCAAAAAGTTCCTCATCTTTATCTGAGACCACCCCACCCTGGGTTTTATTTTTTCTATAATTATCAGCATTTTGGTCAAAGTCATTCAACAAGTCTCTAGGGAGTTGCAAACTTTCCCACATTTTCCTGTCTTCTTCTGAACCCTCCAAACTGTTCCAACCTCTGCCTGTTACTCAGTTCCAAAGTGGATTCCACATTTTCAGATATTTTTTCAGCAGTGCCCCACTCCTGGTACCAATTTACTGTATTAGTCTGTTTTCATGCTGCTGATAAAGACATACCCAAGACACAATTTACAAAGGAAAGGGGTTTAATGGAGAACTCACAGTTTCACATGGCTGGGGAAGCCTCACAATCATGGCGGAAGACAAAGAGGAACAAGTCCCATCTTTTATGGATGGCAGCAGGAAAAAAGAGAGCAGGGAAATACCATCAGATGTCATGAAATCCATTCACTATCATGGGAGCGGCATGGGAAAGACATGCCCGCATGATTCAATCATCTCCTACAGGGTCCCTTCTGTAACACATGGGAATTACGGGAGCTACGAGATGAAATTTGGGTAGGGACACAGAGCCAACCCATATCAAATATTAAGTGGAATTGGGACCCTGTTGAATATATATATTTGGATATAAACATCATAATTTCCTTGTAAGTTATATCTTTTATGCATTCTGTGTCAAGTGAGTGTGCTAATTTCCCCTGTGTTGTTTCACAAGACAATGTTTTTTATTCACTAACCACATTTCTTACTGCATTAATAATATCAACACAGTCACATTTCCCTGTGTGCTGCCTTCGGGGTTATGAGAGATGTAGAGACATTTGTTAAGCCCAGGTAAATATTAAATATCACTTATGAGAGAGAGAGAGAGAGAGAGAGAGAGAGAGAGAGAGAGAGAGAGATAACAATGGCATTTACTGCCAGTCTGAAAGTCCTTTGAGATATGTATGAATACATATGACTTGTTCAGCCTATTAAGCAGATGCTAGTTCAGCTGAAGTGCATGTGTTAATATTCAGACAGTTTTGGGGTAGGGTCATGGGGGAATTACGTATGTATGAAAATTGCAGGTAGGAGCATTGGGGATGGCTTTTAAAATTTTTATTTATTTATTTTAAGCATTGATCTCAAAGATGTATTAACACTATTAGTTTTGATTATAGAAAATTTTAAAAATTAAAAAGCGATTAGGAATGGAATAAAAACATGAAGGAAAATAGTACTTAAGATTTTGAGGGAGGTTTATTGGAAGCCAAATGTCCACCCATCAAGACACACCAATGCAGAGTCTGTTCCAAGTTGGAAGGGTTTCCTAAGGAAGTCTAGAAGAAGGGAGGAAGACTTCTCATATCAGACTTGTTCTTTTTACTGGAGGGTATAAAACAGAGGTTACAATCACTGACTACAGATATCAACATACAGGTTAAAATGTGTACATGCAGGACAATCAGCAGAACTTCCTGATTCTGAAACAAATCAGCAAAATTTCATGATTCAAAGACAGATCAGCATCCTTTTCAATGTCATTAGGTTACATATTCATCAGTATGTAATTTGAGGAACTCAGAAAAATTTCTTTAGTGACAGGCTGTCACCAAAAATCACAAGACAGTTTAACTTGGAAGCCTGTTTACTTTCAAAGTAAACTGCCAAATGTGGCCCATAGGTTATCAAACAAAATAAATCGATCATTAATTTTGTCTGAAGTTTTGCTTAGTTCAATAACCAGACATTGATTTTCAGTAGTTCCTCTCTACACTTTGTTTGGTCATGTGATATTATGAACTGTAAGGAATTATGAAAAGTCTAAATATTGCAACTCTTTCAATGAGGGAAGCCATTTCTTCATATTTCAGCTCAGAAAATGAATGACATATTTATTTATACTATTCTGAGATGTGAAAAAGTTACTGAGGTCTTTTTCTTTGTAGAAAGACAAAATTAAGGATTTTAAAGAAAAATGAGATTTTATAAAATGAGATATTTATTGTGTGTTTTTGCTGCTCTAGATGTATAAAAATATCTGAAAGCATGAAAAACAAACAAATGAAAACTCCTAATTACTGAATGTTAGTATTTCCTTTTTTCTTTTTTCTTTCAGCTTTCGGGAGAAGTGATTTTGCAAATTGCCAACGAACCTGTTCTGCCCTTTAATGCACTGGATATAGCTTTAGAAGTTCAAAACAACCTTAAAGGTAATTCTCCTTTGAATTATAGTAATTTTACCAATGAAAAATTGTTCAACTAATTTTCAACAAGGAATGAAGTCATCGATAATCTTACTAGCTATGAGAATGCTGTGCTTCCTGGAGAAGGTGATCCTGGGAAGGACCTGGAAGAATTTTAGCTTTTAGTCAACAGAAATGCGATGCATTTATGTGTGAGCATAAAGCAGAATACCAGATTTTAAAGGATGGCCCATCTATGTTGTCAGAGAGTTTTATAATTCTAAGTTTTTGTTATTATTTTCAGGTTCCATATAGAATAATATAGTTCAATGATACAATTTTTTTTTTTTAACATTGCACCTAACAGCCAACCAGTTCAAACAAGACTGGCCTGGAAGTTTCTCTTTTGGGGTTGGTTTCTCTGTGGTATGGGTCCCACTTCGTTTGACTGAGATGTTGGCTCAGACCTTAGATCAAAGATGACAAGAAAGAAACCAGGCAATTATTTCTGAGTTTCTATTTCAATTCCTTCATGTGTGAATATATATCTTTCTGCAGAATTCTGACCCCACCCTAATAATTACCTTTACTTTCCCTTTATCCACATACAAATCTTTCAATTAGGCTCCTAATTTGTCTTCATTAACCAAATACAAAGAGTGGTATTGTGGTTAAAGATTTTCCCTCCTCCGCTTTGAATCACACATCTTCCTGACAGATCTTCAATGACTCATTTGTGGACAACTACTTCTCAATAAAAAAGTCAATATTTTAACTGTAAAGCTGAAACAGTAATCCTTTAAAATAGATCATTCTAAAAAGCCAAATATTTCCAATAGCTGAAGATTTAATCCTTTTTTTTCTTTATCTAGATTGCTTCTTATTGCCTGAATTAGAGATTACTCCTTTTTCCCTCTCAGTACTTCTTATGGTTTTATTATAGTGGCTGTAAAACTATGACCTTGTGAACAGCTATTGGTTCCCATGCAAAATAGCCTCACACTGCTCTGCTTTTTGTATATTTAAGTTAGTCTCTATGTGATTTCCTTCTTTGCTACCTACATTAGGATTTCTTCTCACTGTTGTCCATGTGTCTACCTGTAGCAGTCACTCTGGGCAACCAGGCATATGACATTTTGCAAAATAAGATCAAAGCAGGTATAAAGGTCTAAATAGTTTGTGCATAATAAATATCATTTCTGAAAATACTTTTTAAACATTAATTTTGTTTGTTCTGTAAACCATTTTGCTGTTTCTCTAGTTTTTATGTTATACACTTTATAAAATTCTTTTGGTATTACATATAAAACTTTAAACTTTCAGAAAACAGAAGGAGGTTAACAACCTTACAATACTTGTTCATCTATAAAGCAGTAACTGTTATGCATGAAAAGAAGCCCAATGAGTATATTACAAAATGTTAACATTATATAACAGAATCATACATGATAAGTGGCTTTTCTGAGGCCAAAGTGTTAGCAATACTGTCATTTTACATGCTAAAATTCATTTTGTGAACAATGGGGTTTAGTCTTCAAAATTCACATATATGATTCTTTTGTGGTTCGTATTTGTGATGATTGGCTTTTCAGGCTAATGTGTGAGATGTACCTCCTTCAAACCTTGTTTGCACATTGGCCCATTACAATTGTCTGACATAGCAAATCTACAGATTAACATATTATTTCATCATTATAACTACTATATGAACATTTAAGTAACATGGGCTAAGAATGATGCTCAAAAAATGACCTTTTGGGTGATTGCTAGAATCATATTATTAATCTGGTTTATGTGGATGATTAAAGGACGTCTTTCAACCTCTGAAGAAAATTATGATCTTTCGCCACAGAAAGTTACATGTATATAAAGATTTTTGCATGTAATCGCCATGGACTTCACAGCATTTCCTGAATCCACTTTTTCATTCATTTAAATTAAATATTTAAATTAAATATTTATTGAGCCTCTATGGTGTGCCTAGCAAGGTTCCATTATCCAAACAAACAAACAAAACTAAAACAAACAGCAGCGAAACGAATAAACCAAAATTAAAATCCCTGCGCCTAAGAAACATACCTACATACGTTCCCATAGTGGGACAAAATTGGCATAAATAAAAGCAAATCTGAAATTACCATTATGTTCAAACTAATATCAGTCACTAAGTGCCATCATATTAATTCCTGTTATGCAAATGTGTATTTCCTAAATCAATATGATAGTAGAGCATAGCAGTTGCATTTCAAGTCTGGAGGAGATATCTGACTTGAGAATATAAATTTGAGATTCATCCTAGACGAAATTACTAGGCGATTGCATGTAGGGGACAGAAAAGTTCTAAGATTTCGGAGCCACTCCTACCTTTAGAAGCTGGGAGAAAAGGTACAATCATAGAAGGAGATCAACGAGGGGTGGCTAAACAATGATAGGAAAAACAGGTGAATTATAACCAGAGGCCAAGTGGATAAAATATGCCCAAGAGGAAGTAATCAACTGTGTCAAATGCCGCTAATGGGTGAGGAAAAAGAGGCTGAGAACTGACTACTGGATTTCGCCATGTGGAAGTCATGGGTGATCTTAATGAAACCATTTTGATGGATTTGTATAAGCAAAAGCCAGATTAGAAGGCATCTGAAAGAAAATGAGGTGATAAATTGGGGATATGTGTTGGTGTCAGAGGCATAGGAATCAGAGTGACCCTACTTTGAGTGAGGGCAAGGAAAATGCATTCCCAGAAAGCTAGGCATTCCTAGTCCCTTAGTGTTTATGGTTAAGGAAACAGATTGATAACGTTTACTCAACAGACCCAGACTTGGGAGTGTTCTAATATACCAACATCTTGAGAACAAAGGCATTCCTAATTTTGTTTTAAAGACAACAATATTTATTCTTGCAAAATATAGTAATTAAGAAATTAATCCTTTATCACAAACACTTACAGTAGAGCATATCTAGCTGTGATCTTTTTTATCCTGTACATAAGCACGCATCGTACCTGCGGCGGACACGTTCCTCCTCTTTCTTTAGGAAATGCCCTGCTCTGTCTATGGAATAGCTGGTCTTTCACCACTTTGCTTTCTTAAGAAACTTACTTTTTTTTTTTTTTTTTGAGACGGAGTTTCGCTCTTGTTACCCAGGCTGGAGTGCAATGGCGCGATCTCAGCTCACCACAACCTCCGCCTCCTGGGTTCAGGCAATTCTCCTGCCTCAGCCTCCTGAGTAGCTGGGATTACAGGCACACACCACCATGTCCAGCTAGTTTTTTGTATTTTTAGTAGAGATGGGGTTTCAGCATGTTGACCAGGATGGTCTCGATGTCTTGACCTCGTGATCCACCCGCCTCGGCCTCCCAAAGTGCTGGGATTACAGGCTTGAGCCACCGCGCCCGGCCAAGAAACTTACTTTTGATTTGCACTGCAGACTCACCCTGAATTCTTTCTTGTATGAGATCCAAGAACCCTCTCTTCGAGGTCTGGATCTGGACCCCTTTCCTGTAACAGTGGTATAAGTGGTAAAAAGTTTGGCGTTAAGGAAGCGTAGCAGGTTTTTATTTTGATGACAGTGATCTAGTGGAGAGGTAAAATTTGCTCACACAAGAGAGTAAACCGAGAATTAACTGTACCGATTTTCCTAAGCAGGGGAAACACAAGGATTGAGGACTTTGCATTAGTTAGGAACTGTAGCAGACCATTCAGGCAGTTACAACAAAATACCATAGACTGGGTGGCTTATGAACAGCAGTAATTTATTTCTTACAATTTGGAGGCTGAGATATCCAAGATCAAGACACCAGCAGTTTCACTGTCTGGGGAGGGTTCGCTTCCCGGTTCAAAGATGACCATCTTTTCGCTATAACTCCACATAGCAGAAGTGTTGCGGGAGCTGTCTTGTGCTTAACAGGGCACTGGTTTAATTTTTTAGGGCTCTGGCCTCATGAACTAATCAATTCTAAAAGGTCCCACCTCCTAATACTATCACTTTCGGGGTTAGAGTTCAGCATATGAATTCTGTGGGGACATGGCACTCAGATCAAAGCAGAAACACGGTAGTCCATCCATGAGAATGTGAAGGGAGGCGGAACACACAGCAGATAGGTAAATTTGGTGTTGGGATTCCTTGTCAAGTTTCTTCAGATTAGAAAAGCATAAAATAGTTTTTTTTGTTTTTTTTTTTAGGAGGGTAAGAAAGTGAAAAACTATGAAAATGTAACTTTTTGGAACAGCATTAGGAGCCCGGAAGAGATACATATTATACATGGGAGAATTCAGCATAATTTTGGATTTTTTCCAACCTTCAGGGGGGATACAAATGTAGGCGAGAAAAGATTCTTTTCCTCACTTACCACAGGTTAATGGTTGAGACACCTATCACAAAAGATACATTAAAACAAGTGTGAACTCAAAATATCTGAGATAGATCTCAGTCGACTTAGAACTTTTATTTTTCCAATGTTAAGGGTGCATCCATGACACAGATTCAGCCATCAATTAATATATGCAAGATGTACATTGGTTTGTTACAGGAAGGCGGGACACTTGAAGAAGGGAGGGGACTTCGAGGTCATAGATAGATAAGGGACAAAAAATTGCATTCTCTTGAGTTTCTGATTAACCTTTCACTGAATACGCAATTTACAGGAATAATCACTTACGCCTTAGTCTGGCTTAGTGAAAAAGTAGGGCAAAGGAAGAAATCACATATGTGCTTATCTCATGTGAGCAGAGGGATGACTGATTTCCGTCTGTCCTTTGTCCACAAGGAATTTCCTCGTGAGGGAGGTGTATAGCTTTTCTTTTAATCTTTGTAGCTATACTGTATAGTAATGGAATAGGAGGCAGGTTTGCCTGACACAGTTCCCAGCTTGACTTTTTTCTTTGGCTTAGTGACTTGGATGTCCCGAGATTTATTTTCCTTTCACATAATAGAAAGGCATACAAATGTATATAATGTAAGTTTTGCATGACACATGAGCCTTCAGAAATGAAGACCCAAAGAAAGAGGGAAATGTGTGTACTTTTATGGTA